AGACCGAGCCGAACAATTTGGAACCAATGTACACAATATAGCCAACTGTGAAGTGGTACAGAACTATATTTACCTCGGATCTACTATATCAAGCACTGGAGGATGTGGCGATGAGATCAGACGACGGTGCACCATCACCAGGTCTGCAGTGGAACGGCTAGGAAAGATTTGGAGGGATAGGAGAGTTACCAAGAAGACTAAAGTCAGATTGATGAAATGCCTTGAGTTTCCAATCTTTCTTTATGGAGCCGAAACTTGATCTTTGTGACTGCAGGATCGCCATAAAGTCGATGCATTGGAGATGTGGTGCTGGAGACGCCTCCTAAAGATCCCGTGGACGGCATTTCGTACCAATGTATCCCTCCTCAAAGAGCTTCGTGTTAAAGACAGACTCTCGTCAACTGTGCAACTACGAATACTGAAGTTCTTTGGTCACATCTCTAGAAATGAGAATTCGATGGAAAGGTTGGTGGTTCAAGGTCAGATGGAAGGCAAGAGAGCACGCGGTCGATCACCAACCCGCTGGATAGACGCCATCACAAAGGCTACTGAGTCCACCATGATCCAGTGTACTCGCGACGCCTCGAACCGTCAGAAATGGAAGCACATCGCCAGGAGAGCTACCCTCGGAATTGATAGCGACCCAAGGAACACCCCACCATGTACCTAGTCAGTGCAACCACGACGGCTCTTCCAGGACGGCTCGCCGCATACTGGCTAGTGCCCGTGTAACAGCTTATAACGGTACTTCATGGGACCGGCAGTGACATCAAACTACCTCACATATTTATTTAATAACAATTAATAATTAACAAATTAAGTAGATTATTGAGCGCGCCGCTAACAGTGATATAATATAGATTCTGACTGAATGGCTTTCAATGAAACTAAAATGTACAGATCCAGCAACAATAAGGCCATAATGATGTCGATTTTGGCATGATTCTGTAAACTTAAAACTAAATTTAACATAAGTCTCTTCTTCTCATTTTGTATAGAGAATGACAAGGATACACTGTTGTCAAATTTAAGTTTGGGTTTAGAGAATCATCTCAGAATCGATAGCAATGTGTGAATAAGTAATACACAAACTAAATTTAAACCACAATTCATTCTTTCCAACAATCTAAAACCAGCGATTACAAATGCTGGTATTGCCATATCAAGTTTTCCTGTTGGGCAAATTAAATTTTTTAAACATTAAAATTCAAATTTTTGATAAATCGAACATTTTATTTATACCTGAATCGATGGGAATTATGACAAAATAACAGGAAACCAGTAACTTAAAACCTTTCACCAAAATTCAACGAGTCTTCAAGTGAAGGAAAAATAATTTTCGGCGTTTTCTCGGTACTTCTCCTGCGTAGTAAACGATAATGACAGGACCTAGCCAAGCAACATCGTCTTCCCTTATTGCATTGAACGTAATTTAACATTTATTGACATGAGTACTATATTTTATGTTGTATCCACACAGCCGATATGAGCACAGATAACTGTTTAAGTGCATGCATAGTTTCACAACATAATTCAAAAATTTAGAATTTTATTTTCCATTACCTTCTAACGTCGCAATACAACATTAAACTAAAATCTACATTTAAGAATTTTGACGTTAACATTAAACGTTACCGACATGACTAGGTCAAATAAAAAATATTACTTGAGGTAAAATAGAAACCCTTCGAGAGATAGTAAATAAAATTTCCATGGTTTATGTCGGTGGGTGTTACTTTTGTATGTAATGACTAAGGAGATTCCTGTGATAAAGTTACAACATCCCAAGTACCCTGAGCGAACCACGGGCAGCAATAAAACAACGCGTTACGTAATACATCTCGAGCAACCTCTGTCTTGAACGAAATGAGAATTTTAATTCAAATACAACCTTTTTTCGTGGAATACCTTCTTTGGGTAACACATATGCGGACGTAATGTAGGAGCAGGTAAAGAATAGTACTAGAGCTTAATGGTGCAAGTGGTTTGCTCAATCGGTCTAAAATCATGGAAGTTAAGCAACTTTCGCAGTGGCCGGTCATTGGATGGGTGCACAAAAATTTACTACCTAGAGAATTTTGGAAATTTGCTTCAGAAAGACGTTAATCCTTTGGTCCCGGCTGCATCTGCGTTCGTAAGTACCCACCAATACTCACTGGGCCCTCGTGGTGGGTCAGTCCCAATCTCTCTATTCCATCTGAGAGGAAGGCCTATGCCCCAGCAATGGGGGCATTAATATGCTGATGATAATGAATACTACATCTCGCATGGACATAGGATTTCGCTACGCTTAATATCTTGGCAACGGCCTTACACAACGGGCTGTGTGGTGGTCAATCAGTTCAGTTTGCTGATGAAAGATTTTTAATTCTCATAAATTGCGTTGTGGTGCTGGTCAAATTCCCATCAAAACTTCTTGACATATGACGCGTATCGAGGTTGAATTCAATTATTCTGTAGTTTTAACTTTACTACACTGAAAAGGACTAACAGTTTGTACGCATTATTTGTAGTAAACATGTACGAGTTGCTATTAGCATAAGTAATGTTTGTATGTACTTATTTAACACTGCACTGGCTGTATTCTATATAACCACTTCAAGCTATGGGAGAATGGCTTTCCCTACACAATTGTTCTCACACTTAAAAGGGGAATCCAACTTCTATTATTGTAACACGCTTTTTGTTAGTAACAAACATTTTTTCATTTTTTTTATTCTAATTCGATATAGGTTCGTTTCCGTAAGTGAAGTCGTTATACATCATCATTATCCACATTTTTACAAATAATAACTTGATAACATAAACTAAAAGTAGGTGTACGTACACAAGTAGGTCGTATGCGTTTATTAAAGTGGTCCACTTAAATAAAGAGCCACATATGGGCGAAGAATAGCAAAGGGTCGGTCCGTCATGGGAGCAGATAACGCAAACGTATGGCCACGATTACCACCCTCCCAGGGAAATTATTTTAAGTGGGCCCTTATTGTGTACGGCCTAGAGTAGAATTTCGTATGAAGGTCACACTCAAAAGAATTCAGAACTATATTTTGTTCCGAAAAGTTTCTAGCTGAACTGGACTTTAAAGTTGATGTGTAGGTATTTCTTGTCGAAATTTTTGGCCTTAAGATTGTCGAACCTAAGCAGATTCCGAGCAAAGCGACTATGACACACAGACAACCGAGTGATCCTAGAAGGGTTCCGTTTTTACCGATTCAGTTACGGAACTCTAAAATGAAATCAACATTAAAAAAACTTGTTTTTGACTTATTAATTTGTTTTCTGGTATGGCAGTCGCGATTTTATTTTATTTTCGTACTACTAGGGAATATGGATGCGCTAAATTTCCATTCTCTAAAAGTCTGTCATCCACACGTAGAATATTTTGCCGTCTCGTTGAGTACGAGTTTTTTATTCGTAACTGGCTTATTCGTTACACGAACGAGGCAATTGCCGAATTTAATCGAAATCGCACTGGTTCCATGAATCATAAATACAATTTTTCGACTCAGTTATTCTATTAACAACATCGCATGCGTATATTGAAATCCTAGTCCATGGCCTAGTATTAATAGACTATTCTCAACTATGAGACTACGATCCCGAGATACTATTTTCATACAAAACAGCATCTCAAGATCGTATTCAAAATCTCTCTCAGAGTTGAGAGCGATCTGGGTGATTTAGTTACTATGGTCAATATGTTATTGTTTTGTGGGTTGTAGAAATACCTACATAAAGCTTATGTTACTATCTCAAGATTTTAATATTTTTCACAAATGAAATGAAAAGTCATTTATTCAGTCTGGGCTGTTACAAGCACTTGTGAAGGTCAAAAGCTACGCCATGCCATCGGTTAGGAAAACTACGGGGGGAGACCTTCTACTGAGAAGAACCGGAAAGAAACTCAGCAAGGGCTGTTTTTTTTCTCGCTGCATTGTTCTCTCTGCTGTTTTCTGCTGTAGATTTATGTAAACTGCGGTTGATGATTTCTCGTCTCTCGTTCAATAGCGGCTAAACGTCGCTTACTTTATTCATTTATATTACACTATGTGTACACAATCCGATACCGAAGGAGCATTTGTTTAACGAATTCAATGGGTAGGATTTAAATAAATAAAATGATACATTAAATTATTAATATGCTTCTAATACTATGACACGTGTAATGCAAACGAAAGGAGCTAACAACAAACAACAAAATAACACTTGAATAGAATGGGGTACTTATGTCAAACGTTTACATAGCAAACACTTACCAATATCAAAACAACGAAGAGTAGCCCAAACTGATACACAATAATGGACTATGGAAGTCCTTACAATATATTAAGGTGGATATTCAAATCACGTCAGAACGGACGGGCTTCTCTGTCCATTAATAAACGTTTCACGTGAGCCTTGCAGACGTGTCGGCAAAAAAATTAGAGGCTTTCTTTTCATAAATCAAAGCTACGTAGCGTGAGAGCTCTCCCTGTCTATTGTGTAATTGCTACAAGTATCCATGTATATATTTTTCATAAACAAAGCCGCCGAAGATAGTATAAAGCCCTAGATAATTGCCTAAAATTTACCTTACGTTTCAGCAAATATCTGAATATTAATACTTACTTACTGTACCCCTAGCACGAACCATTATAGAATTCGAATAGTTTGCGAGTGCGCAATGTCAATGTCAAATTTTCTATGAAAACTTGAACAGCAGCGCCACAAAGTACGTAACGAGAATTAAAAATCAGTACACATTTGACAATGACATTTCGGACTCGCAAGCGTTACGAATTCGATATTGGTTCGTGCTAAGGGTACTGTACCTAATTGAAAAGATCATAGTTTTGTAAATATATGTATAAAACATGACCTGTATCTACCAGCGCGACCACTTTAAGATAACATTAGTTTATTGTTACCATAATTATCTTTCGTAACATCTTCACGTATCTCATCAATTTGAGTAAACATACCGGATAGTTCTATTTTCTGTTAAGTAGTTCTACTTATCTTATGACCTCAGTGTTACGCCAATTCGGCAATATTAATAACAAATCTGATATTATTTTCATGTACGATATCAGTATAAGTATTAAAAATAGTTTAATACAAATTTAATAAATTTTAAATAACAGTAGGTTTTGAGAACCCTGTTTGTAAACACGTAACCAATTATTCGATTGGAAAGAAAAAAAAATAAAACAATGGGTCGTTTAACGGTGGAACAAAAAGAGTTTTATAAAGAAAACGGTTACATATTGCTGAAGGATTTAATTCCCAGTGAACATTTGTTGCAAATCAGTGAGGAGTATGACAGTCTATTCAAGAGAAAGAATCAAGAAAAGATGGAGAGTTCTTGGGTGGGAAGTGATGTTAATGACAGAAAAACTGACAGCGCATACACAGTAAGTTATTTATAAATGTTACACACGTAAGCGTCACAACACACATATAAGCTCGGAAGGTGTTCGATACCGACTCGCCTTTCCGATTGCCGCATGCCGTCAAACCTGGTCACCGTGGACACCTGGTCCACCTAACATAAGCATGTAACATATGCGGATAAGCAGCTACAGATTGTTCGGATCGACTACGGCTAGGCGACACTGCGCTTTCGGTTTGCCGATCACTGGTCGATGGCTAGGCGGCACAAGTGCGATCAGTAATAGAAAGTACGGAGTGGTTACTACGGACCGATATAAGCTAGGCTACGGAGAAACGTCAGCTAGGTTACAAAGAGTTGACCACGCACGTTCGGGAGCTTATCCAGAGGCGAAGCGATTACGTTAGGATTCCGATTAGTGTGCTTTGCAGTAAGGAGATCCTTATAAGTAATTCTGAACGGCTCGAGTTGATACGGTGACGATCCTCTTTCGAGTTGATAGTTGATATCGTACCCCCAGTTGAAAAAAGCATAAATCATATTACGTTGAATTATTTATTGGTGTTTTTTTTCCATCAACAAATCTTCAGGTTAAGATTATGAGTTTCAGATCATTGGAGCTAAATAAGTTTCACTTCAGTCGTGTGGTCATAAGCACACTCCCCTTTTTTTATCTTATTCCATATATTGGGTGACTAGATCTCACATGCCATTGATAGAAATAAGATGGAGTTTGAAATAAATCCCACAAATGCAAATATCAAAGTTTCTATGTTTGTTACTCATTTACCCAAAAATCGGTATTAACTGGACCAGGACATAGAATACTTTTTATTCCAGATAAATCACGAAACGTGTGTACGAATATTTATCCCCTTTGACGATTTTTTACGCAGAAGAAGTGACTGGTAAAGTCTAGTAAATATAATTTATGCAATTCATAGCTATGCCAACTCAAAAATTGTCTTGAGAGAAATTTCTCTGCAGCGAAATGTCACACACAGCCAATGAGACGTAACTACATATAACCATGTCCTTGGCCTCGCTGAGTTTCTTGTCTGTGCTTCTCAGTACAAGATCGCCCTCTGTATATTTACAAACCGACATGGCATCATACAGGTATAAGAATAGAGTGGGGAATGCGGCTCTAAAAGTGTCCGTCTAGTAGAAAGAGAAAGAAGAGGAGAGACCGCTAGCTATCTCTCTCTCTTGTGACGCATGGCATCCAATGGTACATCGAAATAATAAGACGCTTACGGTTGCCAATGCGCATGCGCGATTAGAGAGAGTAAGCTAGCGGTCTCTCATCTTCTTTCTCTTTCTATTAGAGGGACACTTCCACTTGTAGTAGAGTCTATATCTCCCCTTCTCTATTCTTATGCCTCTATGTATGGCATAGCTAGAGTTTGACATTCACAAGAGTTTGTTACAGTCTACAATAAATTATTCTGTCTCTGAGTTTCCGACAAGGTACTGTTATTCAGCTTGTATGGACGCCAAATTCTATTAAAATATATCAATAAAACATTTTTAGGTAAAAGGGATTCACAATCTCCAATACCATTCGGCGGTTTTCAATCGTTTCATTTTTAACGAGAACCTTCTGGATGTCTTAGAAGATATCATGGAGACTAAAAACATAATGCTACATCATACGAAAGCTCACTTGAAACCACATGAGAAGGGAGCAGCTTATCCTATGCATCAGGTATGCTAATTTTCGTATATTTTTAACCATATGTTTATAGATAATTAGTGATAAAATGTAGTCTAAGTATTTATATCAAACACTGATCCTATCCTACTTCCTACTAAAATTATAAATGTGAGAGTTTGTATTTGTGTAGGTATCTGTGTTACACGATTACGCAAAAACAGTTGAACGAATTTGGATGAAATTTTGCACACATAAAGTTTATTACCTGGATTGAGACAAAATAATTTTAATCCCGCATAAAATTGGAATTCTCGAGGCATTCTCGAAAAACTAAAGCTAACGCGGATGAAGTCGCGGATGGCCGCTAGTGTAATAATATAAGGCAATATTCCAGTAAAACTACCTATATAACCGGGATTAGCACATTACTAGCTACCGCTATTTCAGAGAACAAAGATATATAAAAAATATATGGGTGAGTATATTATCGCAACGAAATGTGTACGGGAAAGTTGTATGGGAAATCTTATATATAAAAATCTCGTGTCACAATGTTAGTTACCATACACCTCCGAAACGGCCTGAAAATCTTATGAAATTTTATTTGCATATTCCGTGGATCTAAGAATCAGCTACTATCTATTTTTCATATCCTTAAGCAGTAATGGTTGTCCACCTGTAACGTAGTGTTCTGTAACCTACAATGCACCTCCGCGCCAAAATTCAAACTATTGGGTATTGTAACGTAGTGTTCTCATATGGGATAGGAGGAATGTTATCCCAGGAAATTGATAGGACACTACGTTACACAACCCTAAAATTTTCTTTGGGCATTATTTTTTTTTATAATGTGGTATTAAAAAATACATAAAACCCTAAATTTTCGCTTCTACCACCTGCCCCTGTTTTTATGGCGATACGAAGTTCGCTGGGTCAGCTAGTATATACATATATAAGATAGTAACACTTACACTAAGTTTGATGTTTCGACATTACGCGCCTATTTTATTCGCCTAGCCACTAGTAGTTGACACGGCTCGTTGCGTTCAAGTGAATAGAGAAATCCTTATGTCGAAAAAAAATTGGCGAGAGATTTTCGATCAATAAAAAATTGGTGTGATTTAACGAAACCACGATGCAAGTGAAACTTTTATATTTAGTAATAAAAAAAACTCCTTTCTTGGGAATCAAACCCAGGCCGCTCGGGTAGCGGGCGAGCTTTCACCACTGAACCACCGATGATTGTTAATAAGATCTATATTTTTCGATAACAATTAAAAATTTAATGCGACCTGCTAAAGATGAACGAAAAGTAGCGATGTAATAGAAGTTTCCCTTCTAATAAGAACCCAGCTCTACACGCCACTGTTTTTGATTATTTACTCTCGCCACTGCATTAAGTAAAATTTCATTTCATTTTAATCGCTTTAACATTAAAAATAAAATAATAACTTCGTAAAAACAAATCCGCTAATAATTTAGAATTACATAATTTTCTTAAAATAAACTTTATTACTGAAAATGATTTTTTATAAACAAAAACATTAGGTATGTACCTATTTGCGGAGTTTCATAGTTTGGCTTTGAACTCATCAGATCTTTTAATTATAATTATTATTAAATTTGAAAAGCATCTAGCCAAAAACTAGATTTACCAAAAAAAATATTAAAGTCAGTCCAACAAACCTTGGAGATATAAAGTCGGATGAAAAACTCCCCCTTTACATTTTAAAGTGACGAAAAAGGTTATTTTTCTCTAGTAGTGTTTGTTTTGTTATTGAGACGAATTTCTTATAATAATAATAATAACTTTATTTGGAACAAGTGCAATGTACATAAAATTATAAATCGTTAAAACTGCTTTAGTTTTACAAAAACTGTGTTTCAGAATTAACGCCCATTCCCGTATAATATGAAACAGTGTTCCTATCAATGTATAAAATTAATTAAAACAATCTGTATAGAGAGAAAATTAAAATGAGACAAAAATATCCACAATTTAAAACCCATCGAAGGTAATTTCAAAACAAAAACATATGTCCGAGTGCATTTTTATCAATATTATAACAAACCAATACTAAATTTTACCAAAAAACGAAAATAAGGACTAAAATATAACATTTGAATTTTTATGCTCACATTAGAAGGTAGGTAAACACAGATAATACAAATCTATTAAAATTATAATATTAAACCTACCTGGATAATAATATTTGTTGCCTTTTCATGTACAGAGGTGTTACAAAGCATTCATTGAGATCCTTACACAAACCCGGTTAGGGCATAGCAATGTGCTTTAGAGAGCTTGCTTAATTTTTTATGAATATATATAAATATGAATCACATCAAAATAAAAAAATATCAATAAAATTAACAACATTCTATGTCATAAAAATGTGTTAAATAAATGAAACATTATATTCAATAAATTATATCACATTAAATTACTAACAAACATCATTTTAATTCCTCGTCATTAAAATACACTTGCAGTGTATAGTGGTTTTTAGAACAAAGGAGCTTTTTCAATTTGTTTTTAAATCCAGTCAGACATCTGTCATTCTTTAAAGACAATGTCAATCTGTTGTATATTTAGAAACAAACTGCAAAAGGGCTACTTTGGACCAATTTGAGTTTAGATATTGGTAGGGCGCCCATTTGCTATGGGGACGTAAGTTATGCGGGCGCGAATAAATAGAAAATTCTTTTTAATGATTGTAACATAATTACTTACCTCCAAAATATAAATACATGTTACCGTTAATACCTTGTACTGTATGAAGTAAGGTCTGCAGCTTTCTAAGTTGTTTATATTTGCAATTATTCGAATGCACCTTTTTTGCAATTTAAATATTGATACAACAGATGTTGAGTTTTCCCTACTGGTTCTCACTTAAATTGCACATAAATAAGATACTCGGAGCGACAGCTCTGCTATCGTATTTTCTTTTCCATCTGCTTTGTGATATCTTTTGCATGGCACGTGTTGGCGAATGGAAACAGCTACATTAACTTGTTTAGTCAAGAATTTACCGGTTTTCTTGTGTATTTTAGTGTTCAGTACTTATTGATGCAGGTGTGTTAAATTTAGCACACTTTTTTATTATTCCGGTACAGGAAAAAAAACAAATTAAAAAAAGTTTATTCTTTAATGCTTTACAAAATGTAAACTGGTCAAAATCAACCAAGGAAACGTATAAACAAGCTTATAGCGCGGGATCTGGGGGCCATTCGTCTAACAGAAATGCTTTGGAACACGCTAACGCTTTCGATTTTATTTTGTTTTCGCCTGAGGTTTTCAAATACCTCACGCTCATTTTTTTTAATATTGTTATTACCAATGCAAAAGATAAAAAAAGAGCGCGAGGCATTTGAAAACCTCAGGCGGCTAATAATAACAAAATGAAATCTTAAGCGTTAGCGTTTTCCAAAGCATTTCCGTTAGGCGTATGGCCCCCAGCTCTTCCCGAAATACAAAAATTGACAGTTTGTGGTATTTTCTTCTTGACGTGTGGCTATCGGGCATAGATGAAACGTAAGATTTTTTATTGACAGATCTGAAATTGGAACTAGCAAGTCGATTGTTTTGTCAAACAAGTCCGACGATTGAATTTATCGAAATAATATGAATTTTGTGTTTATAAGTGGTTGAATAGAAATAATTTGTTAATAATTCTACTTATATGTGATTGTTATTTAACACCATCGTTTTGTATTGTATTGTTTTTCCAGATATGTTTTACAGCAAATTACATAATATTTTGGCATTTTTGATCTAGATCTAACATACACTCGCGCGACTTGACTCAGTCTAGTGAAATAGTTTTGTTTTAGAGCTGGCCCAACAGCGGGGAAAAGTCGACAAAGGGGAACGCTGTGAATGCCGACTCCGTCCTGGCCGCGTCAACCGCGTTGCTCTATGTTCTCTCTCGACAGTAAAAATCCTATGTTAATTTGAAACCCTTTAACCTCCTTCCCAAATACAGTTAAAATGTTCATTTCAATTTTCACTGTAAGGCTATAAATTAAACCAAATAATTTTAACATTGCAGGACTATCACTACTTCCCATACGAAAGAGATTCGATGGTTGCAGCATTTCTCCATCTGGACGCGGCAAACCCAGAAAATGGAGGCTTATTTGTTTACCCAGGTTCACATAAATTGGGTCCTCAAGAAGATATTGGTGCAAGAGAGGGAAACTTTCATTATGTCGATCAGGTAGGTATCTTCTCATGTCACGGTGTGCGTAATTGAACTACTCTTTAACGGCTCGAACGATTTTCGTGAAATTTTATATGCATATTAAGTATGTCTGAGAATCGGACAACATCTAGGTATTTATCATCCCCCTAAATGTTAAGTGTGGTCCACACGAAATTATTTTTTGACATTTTTTTTTCTTTTTATTTTTTTCAAAATCATACTAAAATACATACAACTATAAATTTTCAACCTTCTACCAATAACCTCTATTTTTGATGTATATATCTTTTCTCTCGCTTTCCTGCAATTTGTGGGAGTGATTTCGTGAAATGAGACCGAATAGTCCGGGAGGTAGCGTTGCATTTTTGGCAGTGATTTTACGCCGACTGTTTGCCTTCCTTTACTATTTATCGCGAACTACTTATAACTGAACCAAGCGTCAGCTGGCGCACCCGCGGTGGGTGTGGAATTGGGAGGTTGCGGAAGTGGTAAAAAAAAATAAAAAATAAAGTAATAGTACGCCAGCTCAAACTTTTTTCACGAATAGTTGACATCATACTGAGCTGAAAAAAAATCGTCAGCTGCATCGTGAAGGGGGGATTATGCGTCAGCTGGCCGCATGAATTTGTAAAAAAAAAACGTAAAATAAAGTTATGATACGTCGGATGAAATTGAACTACGTGATTCTTTAAATAATCATAAGTACAAAAATAACAATCAGCTGCGTATATAGCGGTGGAAAGACCGTCAGCTGACGCAGTAAAGGTAAAGATTATTCTAGCAATGGACAGAATCTTTCTCGATATATTTTCGTTTCGTTTTATTTGTAACTAAATAAAAGAAAATCGAGGGCAAAATGAAAAGAACCCAAAATATATTAAAAGTTAATATGAACAAAATCGAAATATAGGAATAAAAAGATCGCGAAAGTTATTCATCGTCGATGGTATCGCTGTCGTCGTCGTTCTCTGACGAATCATCGGCCGAACTGTCCTGCAGGAAATCGTTTTCTTCGTCTTCATCAAGTTCTCGACCTCGATGTTCTTGTTCGCTGCATTGGAAGCATTTATCATGCTGCTGTAAACATTTACCATCAGACACAGACACTGGTGGGTGCCGATTCTGGATGGTTCTCTAAATTTAAAACTTAATTTAACATCAGTCTCTCCTTTTCATTCTGTATAGAGAATGACAAGGATAAACTGTTGTTATATGATAACTAGTTGACACTTTTTGGAATTATGTTTTAAATTGGTAATAATTGTTCTATCACAACGAAAAAAAAATATTTTTTTTACCTAGAAGACATACAAAAACGCTATTTAGTCTATAGACTTATCTATGCTATGACGTCAAAACATTTGTAAACAAACACTCGCAAGCACGTAGGAAATAAACTTTCTAAGTTAATATTATAAAACCATGATTTCTAATAGATCACATGAAAAATAGAGTAGTTATCATGATACACTTGGTAAAAGACTCCAGAAAAGTTGTGGTTTAAATTGCCAAGAGAAATAAACATACTTACACATGAACATATGCTTAAAACTTGCTAAATCCTGTAACTTTATCGACTGAAAGTCTTTTCTTTTTGCAAAGATCAATTCGATGTGAGTAGGTGCTCATTGATAATATTAAAAGTTTAAAAACACAATTTTTAAGGTTATGAATGTACCTACTAAGTCAAAGAGTTTTGTCGTTTCTGCTTTCACAAATCCTGAGGCCAGCATTAATTTAGTCAACAAAACCAATAGGTAACGGGAACCTTTTCTACAAGATACAAGAGTGTTTAGATACATCTTTATAAGAAATAAACATTTGTATAGTTTTTAAGTAAAGTAACGGAAAATATTCTTCTTTATTCTAGTGAATTAAGTTATTTTACAAATTTGAAAAAAATTAAGAATATACGTAGATTCTGGGACTGAAGTTAGTAGGTTTCCAGAAAAGGCCTAAAATACGTAGATCTACGTAAAAAGACGTAGAGTTGGCAACACTGGGGAGAGGCTTAGGTAGCCCGAAGGTCGTGTTATGGGTTCAAGGAAGGCCAGAATGTATCGCAAAATATGTGTTTGAAAGGGAACAGCCTCACAGCAATACTCCAAAATTTTAAATCTTGACTGGGTCAGCTGACGGTCTTTCCACCGCTACACAATCAGCTGATTGTTGTTTTCGTACTCTAAATTTTTTGAAGAATCGCGTAGTTAAATTTCATTCGGCGTATTATAACTTTATTTTACGTTTTTTTTTTACAAATTCATGCAGCCAGCTGACGCATAATCCCCCCTCCACGATGCAGCTGACGATTTTTTTTTTTGCTCAGTATGACATCAACTATTTATGGAAAAAGTTTCAGCCAGCGTACTATTACTTTTTTTTTTTTTTTACCTCTTTCGCAGCCTCCTACACCCGCACCCACCGCTACTCGAGCAGCTGACGGTCGGTTCACTTATTAGTCATATAATATCAACTATCGACGTTAATATCAGCCGGCTTACTATGACTTTTGCATTTGCAACGCTACCTCCCGGACTAGAAGTGTGTAACAGAAAGTCGCGAAAGCGCGCGATATTTGATTTGATTTAAAAACATAATGTTCAAATGGCTTTATCCTTTTAGTAAGTTTTATTTCTTTTTTTACTAATATAAGGTGTGGTTTCAAATGTTACACATCATACGCGACTACTGTAAGGCTCGCTCTTTTTTTTATGGTGGTACGAAGTTCGCTGAGATAGCTAGTAACTTATCTAATTATCATATTATTACAATAAAAAGTTCATTAAACAAAGAGTGTCCGTCTGTCAAAGGGTTTTGTATGATGTTGTGCTCTTTCTAAAATATAATCTAACAACCACTAGACCCATATGCAAGAAAAAGTTAAAAAATGCGTAACCTATCATAATGATGACTAGAATCAGTAATATTACCGAATAATAAATCGACATTTTGAATTCTAATACATTTTCTGATATTAAAAGAAAGACTCAATTTACAAGTGAAAATATTAAAATATAAAAAGGAATTTTCTAATTATGCTCGTGACAAAATAGATGAGCTTCCAAAAGGCATTTTGTTGACATCAAATGAAATATTATTTCAAAGGATTATAAATAATTTGTTATGAACGGATCTTTCTAGGAAAGCATGAAATCTTCGAAGCTAAAAAGAAGATGATGTCTTTTCGATAGGTATTTAAAGTTTCTTCGTTCAATTTCAGTCATTTTTCAAGACAGTGTAAATATTTTATAGGTCAATTAATTACGTTTTAACTTTCGTAGTCCCTAAAAGTGCGCCTATTTATTTTCTGTTCCTATCCAAGGGCATATTTACTCTAGGGTCAAAAGGATCATACACCGGCGGGTGCGTGGCCAATCCTCTTAGGGCGTACCATGCAATGCCCGCCCTACTGACACATATGTCAGGGACCGCGGTCCTAGGGATGTGTGTCAGCGAATAGGTGCAGGTGTATTCTGGGTTTTACCGTTAGGTAGGGCCCTACTCATTACGTCGAGCAACCATGCTGGTAAAATGAGTGAGGAGTTCTGGATAACTCTGCTTCGCTTCTCTAGGTAGGCGGAGAATGCGTAAAGCATTTTCCAAACATTAAAAAAGGTCCAAAAGTGCCACAAATTAGGGCGGCAGATTAGGGGGGGCGGCTGCAGGCTGTGTAAGGGGCAACAGAATAATTTAAAGGCAGTCGATACTGACCTATATTTTAAAATTTTAGGGTCGGTGCAAAACTAAAGTGACCCGGGACGCCAGTTTTTAAAATATGCCCCTGTTCATATCTGTCATTTTACTCTCAATAACACTTGCAACAATGCCAAAATATTAGAGACAATGTTAAAATTATTCTAGCTCATTTTCTTGACCAAATATTAAATTATTAATATTCTTATTTCATAACCGGGTTAGAAAAAAATATATTATAAAAATTTTGCTTTCGTAGATAATTACGAAAAATATAGATAATAATATAAATATATAAACTAATTTATTTTCATTTCACAAAGTTTTTGCTTTGACATTCTTGTAATTTTTCTCTAACAATTTTCACGACCTATGTATTGACACTAATTTTGCAATATTTTATTACCAATTTTACATCAGTACTTGTTTGAATTTGATTTCTATTCTATCTCATAATCGTCAGGCTAGTCTTCCTTATGGATGGAATTGGGAGATTGGGTCATGTCATGATCCACCACGCGAGCCCTGTGGGGAGTGGTGCTAACGACTGCAGATGCAGCTGGTACCAACGACTTGACGTGCCTTTCGAAGCATGGAAGAGCTTTAGGTAACCCATACAATGACCGTCCATTGCGAAAGTTACTTATCTTCCACGACCGCAGACCGAACGCGCTTACCACTTGGACCATCGAGGTCCTCCTAATCCAAATTAAATAATATAATTTGACACAATTATTGTATCCGTGTTATTAACTGCTTTTATGTACAACTTGCTTAACAGCGTGTTGATAAAACAAAATAATAATAATAAACTATTTTATTGCCTCCAAATATAATCACATACAAATATTAAAACGTACCTTTATTTGTCTTACAGAAAATCTTCCCTATCGAGAAAGCTTCGCCAGTGATCGCTGAAAAGGGGGACATCGTGATCTTCTCGTATCTTCTAATCCATGGAAGCTCAACGAACAGTTCTCAGCGTGCACGGCGTATGCTACTGGCACAAATGGCTTCAGCTGATGATGTGCCTGTAGGCTTACAACCTCTGCGGCCAGGCCAAGGATGGATGTTAAGAGGCGTCAATGCGCAAAGAGACGCAAGCATTTCGAAAAGATTTGAATAGTCATATTTTATTTATATTTATTAAGACACTCACTAGAAAATAAACAATTTTGGCAGATATCAAAAATACATAAATATATCACGCCTAATACTTAGTTAAAGCGCTGTCAATAATAAATATAAGTATTTGATAGTGAAACATGTGAAGTGAGAGACGGCACTGCAAGTCGCCTGTCGCCTGCCAGTCGTTATTTTTTTTTGTTTTGTTTCCTTGCTTCCTACAAAATGTCTACAATCAACTAATTAATCTTTAGTGCAGCTACATTCGTGTGAAGCTGCCATCTGTACTAGGTAAGACCTGCGCCCAAGCACGAACTATGACAAATCTGTAACAGTATCGTCATCGTCAAATTTTGCAAAGAAGAAGCCAATTTGTTCTTACGCCTGGTAGCAAGGGCTCGGAATAGCTTTCATAGAAACTTTGACGATTACTTAGCTGCCAAAGTTCGTACTTAGGCCTCTCTATTTTTTTTTAATCGACTACCCCCGTTTTGTGACATGACTTTTTCCTTTCTTTTCGTTTTGGTTTCTATTTTTTTTTTTAGATTTCTCCCTCACCGGGTGCTCATTTTTTTGCACCACATTATTTTTTTTTTCGTTTTCTTTTCTGCTTTGCGATCGGGTGCGAGGAGTCTGGATTAGCTATCGACTGGAGAGCAGATCTCGAGTCGCTGAGCACGGCGACCTCCTTCTATTCTTTTCCTAGCACGCATTCTGTGGCTCGGAGGATGGCATACAGCTCGGCTTGGAAGACTATACAGTATGGCTCCAGCTTAAACATTCGGGAGAGTACTTCCGCCTGCCCTTTTCAACAGGTCAGGGCGGCTCCTTCCTTTCCCTCCAGTTTGCTACCATCTGTATATATCTAGGCCTCTCTATTACGGGCTACCAAGCTCCCCAGCTAACGGTAAAGCTACATATTATGACTAAAGTGTGGAGACTGTGGCGTTAGGCCTTGTAAGGTTAGGGCGTGTAGAGATAAAAGCTTGTCTCTACATGAGATCTGAAAACTTTATTATAGTGCGAGGCATATGGCAACATTCTACACGAAAATGTTTTTAGGTGGGATATTATAAATTCAAAGTATATCTGTTTTTCTTTTATAAAGAAAGACACATAGGAGAAGCATAATTGAGTCTAATTACTATACTACATTTTGTGACGAAAATAAGCTTTCTATAGAGTATAAAGGTTTGTACGGAAAATAAAAAAATTAACGACGGCGTAGTCACTAGCAAACGTTGGTATAGAATATTTTTTCTACAAATAAAACTTAGTTTGAGAAAGGAGGAGCTTGATGGCTCAGGTGGTAATTGTATGGTTGACTAAAAACTTATTATTCTGATCTCCTCCGTGCTTCGGAAAGCACGTGAAGCTGTTGGTCCCAGCTCCATCTACAATTGTTAGCACCCACCAATCCGCACTCCACGTTGGTTTACGGTCCAAACTCCCTGTTCCATCTATAGGGAAGGCCTGTGCCCCAGCAGTGTAATAGGCTAATGATGATAATGTATTTAAAAGTATTTTAACCTCCAATTTAACAAGCGGCAAAAGTTTACCAGAACGATAAGGCTTGCCCAGAGCTACTACGAAAATAAAACCACAAAATTAAATTGAAACAAACTTTGACATTCAATTGTTTATTAGTACAATACAGTGAACCAAATGTTCACCAAAACCTGATTTCTCGAAAACCGGAAGTGCTACGTTACTCAAATCCGGTTTGTAGTCTTATCAGACTATTCTTAACTTATAACTTAAATATTCTCTTTATCTATCTCTTACGGTTTGGCCGCTGAAACAGCACCACAGACAGACGGACGGACTTGTCTAATAGATAAGAGATGATTAATTCCTAATGCATTCAGAAACATGGTTGAAAATTTTAGCATCCATACGACGCTCTTCAGCTGATTTTCGTTTATATTTTATGTGGTTTAACCACAGCTCGGTAAAAATAAATGTTTCACAAATTACGGTCACACGTGCCAGAGTGCTATCAACAAGCAGCTTTACCTTTACCCCTTTGTCGAGAGCAAACACCATCACGTTTGCTAATTACAAGCGCCTCGGGTTGCAGCGTTCCGCACAAAACTACCGAAACGAGGCATTACCGACCCGGTGCCTAAGGCCTAAGCCACCTAAATTTGGACAGCTCCGTAATCGTTTATTTTTGAGTGTGTATGCTGTTGGTCGCAGATGACTTTTACAGCGTCACCGGGTTTGGGGACGGCGAGATCCTTAGGGGACCTCAAGCCGAGAATTGGCGAGTGCCTCTAGAGGTATTCCAGGCGCATGGCATCTCCCCACGGGGGGAGTCTCCTCTCCGTCTGGAGCGTCTAGATCACTCGAACCTGAGGGGGTCGGCTCAACTAGAGGGCGTCTCTGAGACTCGGACCTCGGCCTAGTTAGCCGTTGTCATGGGGGGTCCATAATCGTATCACATGGTAAAAGTTCCTATGATAACTAAGCAGCGCCCCTATCGGTCGTAAGAACAAACTAGCTTTTTTCATACATGACAATGATGATATGTTTACGGAGCGGTAAAAATTCGTGCTTTGACCTCTGGGAGCCAATCGCCTGACGAGAATGCTGATAATGGCTATCGCTTTCTATTTTATTATGTTATTTCTGACCGACGAAGGTTTTCAAAGGCCTCGCGCATTGATAATAACAATGTTAAAAAAATTATCATGAGGCATTTAAAAACCTTCGTCGGTCATAACAAAATAAAAAAAATAGTAAGTAAGCGATAGCGATAGCCATTCCGTTATGCTTTTGGCACCCTAGTCGGTGCGGGCTCATTTCGTTTTCTTTTCTGTGCCGAATCTAAATAAAATAAATAAATATTTCGAACACTCACACCAATTAGCCTAGCCACAAGCTAAGCACTATAAGGCTTGTGTTATGGGATACTAGGGTAACGGATAGAACACATATACTGTACATATGATTATATAAGTATATTTATATAGAAATACATATTAAACACCCATGACTGGAGTACAAATGCTCGTATTCATCACACAAACATCTGCCCCCATCGGGATTCGAACCCGGGACCTCTCGAGTCGGCGACACCATGAAATCCGGCGTACAAACCACTCGGCCAAGGAGATCGTCAAAATCTGTACAGATTCTTTACCGAGTGCATGTTATTATATGAGAGCTTCCTCACTGAGTTGTTTCGGTACAGATTCTTTACCGAGCGAGTACTACCGAACGAATCATCTCGTCCGTTCTGTCACTCTGCAAAAACAAAACAACGTCACTTAGCAAACAAAACGAAACGATACCGCAACGAAAACGAGCCATTCAAGCAGTGGTTCGCGGCAAAGAATCTGTACAGATTTAAGTACAAAAACGAAAACGTAACGATCCGATGAGGAAGGCGCCTTATCTGGCAGATTTATTCCGAAAGTAACAAAACTTTAGTGTTCCTAAAACCATTTTTTTAAGTGAGATTCCAGAACTTTGAGAGATATTGAGACTGTTTAGATTCCAAACTTATATTACCAGGGACCAGCTGATTTTTTTAGAACAAAAACATCCTTAGATATGTTTACGCCCTCTGAAATTCTGAATTTCCGTTTGAAGTGTATGAAGGTAATAAAACGTATAATAACTAAATCTTTAATTTTAAAAGTGGGTGCTTAATTTACATTTTTTATTTATATTTAATTACAGCTTTAAATTTAATTTTTTTGATAGGTATTAGATAGGTATCTCCGAGTTGTCTACCTTTATGATCCAGTGGCTTGCAGCCTCTACTTTTAAGTAGGGATCTCAGGCATTGTTCGGATTAATACCAGTTGCTGCTTTTCGCTATCGTACAACGCGACAAAAAGTTCTTTCCCACCATCTTGATGCGCTGCTATCCACAATCTTGTGATTTTTTCGTATATTTTTACCACGTGCGGCAAAACTGTGGAATATACCACCATGCACCAGCAGTATTTCGTACCAATACGACCTGAAAACCTTAAATAACAAAGCGTACTCCTTAAAGGCTGGCATCGCATTTGTGATACTCCTGGTGTTGCAGGTGTCTATGGGCGACGGTGATCACTTACATCATCAGCTGAGCCGTCAGCTCTTATAATATTTAAAAAAAACTCTGAAGGGTACAGCTCAATCCCATAAATACAAATTAACATTATAACAGCAAGTAAAAAGTGTATAGCATTCTTTTGTGTTAAAACTGCAAAAAATGGCTTATATGCATAAAAATTTTGGAATAACATAATTTTAAAGTGGATTTTTTATAACACCGCTACAATTTTTTATTTTAACTTAAGCATGTCATATACATTTTTAATTGCTTTAAAAAAACAGACCTTTTCAACAAGCATCGTTGGTTCAGTGGTAGAAAGCTCGCCTACTGCGCGGACGGCCCGGCTTAAAGCGGTCGGTATCTGACGAAAGAATTTTTCAATAATTTTAAAAGTTAGACTTGCATCGTGTATTCAAGAAACCGCACCAATTTTTTAGATTTGAGTTTTTTTTTTTTGTGTTCCTTACTTAGTGTAGCCGCACAAGGGCCACTTACCACAATCACAAAACGCCGCCACCGGCAAATTTCTTGAGTTTTCATACATTTTATATGGACTCGCCACACACGGTACGCCGGTGGCCGCCACACGCTACAAATCGTCGTTGCTTGCTTCTTGTGGCCCGCACCGGCCACTTAATGCGCCGATACAAAACGCCGTCACACGTCTCTCACGCGATTCCCCACCCCTCTCTCCCTTACCTTAGCCGGCCGCTGTCGCGCGCTTCAGCCACTTTAGCCTCTTCTAGCTTCTCGTGGCGGCGTTTGTGGCCGTGGCGTGTGGCCCGTGTGCGGCGACACTTAAAAAAGGAATTGAGTACTTATTTGTAAAAAAAAGCTGAACACGAACAAAACTTATAACAGTTTGGACTGTCAATATGATGTCTGTTGGTGTATCTGCGCCGCGGGAATTCGTTTTACTATTATAAAACGTGGCAATGCTGCCAGCCTTTTGGGCACCATACCTGACGGCGGCGCTGAGGGTGACATATTTTTTTATTTTATAAATAAGATATTATTCTTTAGTAGGTTAAGGTAATTTTCATTAAAATTTTATATATTAGGTAGTATTTGAGTTGTTGTAATTTAATTTTTTTTCTATATATTGTAATACTGTAAAATGAAAAGAAAGATGATTATTGTGAGTGCACAAAGGATGTGTATACTAAACGCATAAAAAACTAAAAAAACCGGCCAAGTGCGAGTCGGACTCGCGCACCGAGGGTTCCGTACAAACCTCTAGGTATATTTTAATAATTATTAAAAAAAAAATATTATAGGATGTAACTAAGAATTTACGGTTTTCGCAATTTTTCCTTTATCTGTACTATAAGACGTTACTTCGTACCAAATTTCAAGATTCTAAGTTCACGGGAAGTACCCTGTAGGTTTTGATTCCCGTGCGAGTTTCGAAAATTTGCGACATAAACGGCTGTATCTTTTG